AGTTCACAACAACTCATTGGCTTTAGTTCTTAGCATGGAGGCTGTAGCTTCAAATGGCTACAGAGGTAATGACAAATCCATGCTTATTGCCAATGTATTGTTTAGAATGGGAGGAGTAGCCATTTTACTATCTAACAGAAAACAAGACAAGCTAGTGGCCAAGTACAAGCTTCAACATCTTGTAAGGACCCACACAGGATCAAATGACCAAGCATATAAGTCTGTTTACCAAGAATCTGATGAAAACGAGATGGTGGGTGTTTCCCTCTCACGATCTCTTCTTACTGTAGCTGCTTCAGCTTTGAGGACCAATATAACAACCTTAGGTCCTCTTGTCTTGCCATATTCAGAACAATTGTGCTTTGGATGGTCAGTGATTTGCAAGAAAATATGGCCTAGAGGGAGAAAAGAAATCTATGTGCCAAATTTTAAGAAGGCTTTTGAACATTTCTGTATACATGCTGGAGGTAAGTCAGTCATAGATGTCATAGAGAAAAGTCTTAAGCTGCAAAAGAAAGATGTTGAAGCCTCAAGGATGACTTTATACAGATTTGGCAATACTTCATCTTCTTCTCTGTGGTATGAACTTTGCTATTTGGAGGCAAAAGGAAGAGTGAAGAAAGGAGACAGGGTGTGGCAAATTGCCTTTGGAAGTGGATTCAAGTGTAACAGTGCAGTTTGGAAGTGTCTTTCTGATACTGATCCAAATGTAAGAAATGTTTGGTCAGATAGAATCCATTTGTATCCAGTTGAGATACCTGTGTTTGACTGTTGAATTTGTAATAGGTTTGAAAAACATTGACAGTTGAACAATCATTGGATATCATAACTAGCTTATTTTATGACCATGAAAAATAAATTAAAATATAATTTAACCTTCCATCTCTTTTATATTTTCATTTCAGTGTTGAGTTTTGTTTATATGTTTGTGCTTTAAGGTACATGTTAAAGAATAAAGGGCATGAAAATATTAAATAGAAAATGTAAAGGTTCTAAAATTAGAAAGCATAGAATATTTTTTTTTCTCTAGAAAGAATTTAATATAGGGTAACAAATATTTATTGGTTTACACTTGCAGGATTCATCTTAAGATTGCTTTGGCCGATATTTGTCTAAATGGTGATGATAATTTGGCATTACAATTTTTTTTTTAATTTATCTTTTATGCTTTGCTGACAGAATCACCCTTTCTTTTATTGCTATTCATATGAACTGTTGTTGTAGCAATAAATAAGGACGTAATTGTTACCACCCATAAGCATTTTGAGGATGATATAATTGCAAAAGAAGTCGTGTTGCTGATTATAACCTATAAAAAAGCTGAATAAATCATATAACTATTTGATGGGATATATTTATTTATGCTGTATATACAACTCGTCAATCCACACCACTAGACTAAGGTGTAGATATGTTGTTTATTACAATTCAATTGAAAAAAAAATGAAGTGATACAACGTACCATCCCGCACTATCTCCTCAATCGTAGAGTTAGAATGATGTTTTATTAAGTGTGAATTCTTGAGGATTAAATTCCTTGTTGATGAATCAAGCACGTAACCTTGCCCTGGCATCCAGTGTAGTAAGTATAGCAGCAAGTCCTTCTTTTCAGGCTCATCTAAATACCGTGACACAGCCTTCCCAAAATAAATCCTTCACAAGAACGAATATGATAAAGTTTCGAGTAAAAAGTTAAAGACAAAACACAAACCCAAGCTCTAGGGTCACTGAAAATCCTTTAATCTGGACCTAGTTGTTGAAAAATTCCATCAGTTATTCTACTTTATTCAAACTGGCAAAAAGCAATAAGTTGCTAATAATAAAGTAGATAGTAGACATTGGCTGGAATATAAATGGTAAATATTGTTATCATGACTGTATATAGTGAATAATAGATTAACTAATAACAAATATATACTAACATGAGATTTTATAAATAATAATTAGTTTGCAGTTCATAACTAAAATCCAAATAGTGAAATAATGAAAACGAGATTATGGAGTTCACACATTCTGCCACTACTTTTTTAAGAAAATAAAATTAAAGAAATAGTGAATTAAAAAGGTAAGTAATTTGTAGTATCTTGTGCTGTTAAAATTTGTACAATTGTTTTTAGCATTTGAGTGATTTCGTTTTGCTATTTTCGCACGATGTATCAAGATATGCTTCTCTGTTCTTTTAATTATGCACAGATGCTATTCCAAGAGCCGAAGAGATTTCGAACTGCAGCACAACCGTGAGGGCAAAAAAAGGAAAAAGAATTTTGATCATCACCAAGTGCAATCACTGGATATACATTAGTTCCATACAGAACAAAAAGCATTCTAAAACAAAGAATATGAAGTTGTTCTATTCCGATACAAAATGAACAAAATTTTACAACACTTCTTGTGAAGGGTTGTGGCACAAACCTAAGACTTGGAAACCCAGCTGTATAAGCAGTGCAAGTGTGGTTAATAAAAACTGTGAAGAGATCATTCCCTTTTATCCTCCTCTTCTGACTCGTCTTCTTGATTAAAGGATCCATCAGTTCCTACATTCTTCTCTTGCCGAGCTATACTTAGTTCAACTTGACCTTCCTGTTTTTCCTTAGTGAGAGACTGAGCTTCTTCGTCATCGGAATCTTCTCCCACTTTCTCCGAATAAGCATACCTATACATGGATTCCAGAGACGAATCAGACATAACAAGCCAGCACAACATCACAACATTAGCTTGACATAAATATAAATGAATAATCCGATGAAGCTAGCACAAAGTTCATCTGGTACCAGATGCCCAGATGCATCCCATATTACTGCATTTATACACCATAATATGCCTAAATCATTCAATCCACTATGAATAACAGGTAAGTTTTGCACACGAGATTGCTCTGTCTGTGGACAACAAAGGTTTCCTTTCAAGACATCGTAGTTTCATCAGAGGAACCATAAATTTCAAATGCTTGTAACCTAACTGTTGTTGAGATTCATTTAATGAAGCGCTTTGACAGAAATATAACCAATGATAAATAAGGGGAAGAAAATGTCATGTTACAACAACGAAAAGCCTAATATCACTAGGTATTCACCTTTGAGAACTTTGGGATGGGGCCCAGAGATAGCATATAACACAGAGTAATGCAAATGCTATAACGTCCCAGAATGCAGTGATGATCCAAGCACTCTGCCAGCGCTCATTGAAAGGATCTGTAGCTTTGAAGTATACCTGTAAAAGAAAAATAGTAGTGTGATTGCAATCCAGATGACAGATTAAAAGATGGAAGAAATGTGACGGTAAAATTCCATGAAGCAAAAATGTGGTATCCAAACAGTGAAATTTGAATAACGCTTTTTTTTTCTTTTAAAATAGAACACCAATTTCAGTTATTCATTACAAGAAGTAAATGTTATTTTTGTGCAAGATACAAAAAAAATTGATTATAAGCCTCACCTCATATCCTATCCAAGCAACTGAGGAGATCACTGTTACTGCCAATGCATTTGAGAATTTCCTGTATATATCCAACTTAACAGAACTTCGTTTTGCCTGACAACCACACAAACACAAATCAAACATATTGAAGAAGCAAGTTCATCACAGATCCAGAAGAATAGACAAATTTAGAGGTATGGTGCCCCAAAATAATAGCAATTTGAGGAAAAGATACCTGTAACTGTTCCAGCGTTCTTGAAAGTGATGTAAAAATCCATAATATCAAAAATGCATCTAAAAAGGCATCGGGAAGAACAAGAAGGAGCCTTGCCCTTCCTGATACATCATTGATGGTCCCCACATATTCAGTAATATTCAGCAACTCCGATGCCAGAAAGTAAGTTATTCCAAGTAAAAGAACCTTTGATGTAAGACCACCAAGAGTGGGTCGCACAACACCATAACCCATTGAAACAGAGAGAATGAGAAGCCGTGATATTGTTTTTCTTATAGTCCCAACAGTGACAACCCATGTTGTGAGCACAATAGGTCTCATTCCAGTATTGTTGAAATTTACATACTCAAAATACCAGAGAATCATCTCAAACAATCCAAGAGCAATGACAGCTGTGATACAGTGCTGAAGCTGAAGTACATCATCCCAAAATCTCACATACTGAAAAAACCAGACGATGCTAAGACAGACGTAAGCCAGTGCCATAAATACATAGAACTTCTTTAATGGGGCCATCCTACCAGGCAAATACCCATCAGGGTTTTTCCATATTGTCTTCCCACTCATTACCATGTCCTTGAGTTTGGGGTCACAAGCTACAAAAAACAAATTATACATTCCAGTTTTTTTTATGGAAACTTTCTGAGAATCTAGACTTGAAATTACAGATTTTCCTTTGAAATGTACATCTAAAACGACTGGCCAATTAATATCTGTTGCAGAAGGCCTCCGAATAATCTCTCCTTGTTTACAAACACCCATCTTAGCTAAATCAGGAGTGCAACAGATTGCCCGTTGTCCACCATAAGCAGAACCACCTATATCATTTCGATCAGCAGCCTCAAAAATTATGATATGTACTGGCACAGAACCACGTGCCTTCGCTGCAGCTTTGGGTCTCCGAAAGGTTATGTTCTCAAATCTATCCCACAATCAAAAGTCAGAGTTGTGCACTCAGATTATGCAAGAGATATAAATTATTGAATTTCATATGCATATTCTAAAATTTCAAAAAGAGCAGCACTAAAGATACATTCTTTTTTTTTTAACAGAAGCATTAAAGATACAAATTTTTCATGCTTCAATGTTGGGGTTTCCTCGTTGTGCATATCTTCCCTGCTTATTAGTTTGTTGGTTAATAAAGACCACAGCAGGAGTTTGAGAAGAGACATAAATTATTAACTTCATGTGCATATTCTAAAATTTCAAAGAACAGTATTAAGATACATATTTTCCATGCTCCAATGTTGACGTTTCCTCATTGATGCATATCTTCCCTGCTTATAAGTTTGCTGGCTCATAAAGATCACAGCAGTATTTTGAGGTCGATTTCATTTGCCAATTCTAAAATTTCAAAGAACAGTATTAACGATATATACTTTTCATGCTTTAATGTTGGGGTTTCCTCATTGATGCACATCTTCCCTGCCTATTGGTGTGTTGGTTCATAAAGATCATAGCAGTATTGTGAGGAAGAGTACGCTATATGCTCCTAATACTTTAAGAAGAAAATATTAAAGAAAAAAAAATACATATCACGTCCTCGAAACTTAAAATCCATTTAATACTTTCTTAACGAGTGCTAACAACACACTTTCTACTACTTTTAAAATTTATTGGAAACTACAAAGTATAAGTAAAAATCATTAAATAAGTGAAACTCACAAAACATTGTGATATACAATAAATTTCATCCAATATTAATGTGTCAGATAGCGAATAGCTAGTATTTCTATAGTTTCTGAGGAAGATTTCGCAGGAGCATCTCGAATCATTCTTTGAGGAAACTAATGTAGAAATCTAACCTAACAAATAGTTCATATTTTATCTTAGCTGCCGCATTCACAAATAATAAATATATAATTCTAACTTCTAACAGACTAATTAATCAGTCCAGGCTCCGGAGGATGAAAAGGAAGGTAAGACTAATTTTGCTTAGCTCTCATTTTATCTCTACTCTATCAATTAGTGTAGTTTAGTTTCCCCCCTATTATAGGTAAGCCAATGAGTACATATTTTCCTCCAAATCGTTAGGAATTCACGAATCCACCCAAATCAGGTATAAGTAGACCACGTATTTCCCTTTAAGTACCTCAGAGTCCCAGACTCAGTCAAAATCAAGCATGTAAAGAGTTTTGCCACAAATTGACCAATCTCGCATCTGAAATCGAGAGAGAGATTACCGGATGTAAGAACGGCCGTCATGGATGGAACTGCCTTGAGAAGCGGTGGAAGCTTCAGCGACGATAGCTTCGCTGCCACCGGCGAGGAGGTAGGCATTGCCGACTTCTTGGAAAGGTTCATGATCGTAGATGTGGATAGATGCGAAGGTGGTGACTGCGATGGAAGACAGTAATATATATACGAGTGAGGCTGCGAAACAAATGGATCTCGATCTTCCTCTCGCAAACGCTGAATCCATGCCGATACACACTCTCATTCACTCAGATCGGATCGCCGAAAAGAATGCAGAGAGAGAGAGAGAGTAGGAAACATGTCGGTATGATATCGTTGCAACGTCACTCTCCTGGGAGGGACGAGAGTAGACGCTAGCTTCACGCGCGGATTAACCACGTCATCACTCGTATCTCATTCATGCTTTGTAATAAAACTAAAATAAAGGTGGAAAAAAAAATAATTGTATATTTATTTAACTGAAAAATATTGAAAATAGAGTGAATAAAAAATGTTAAAAATAACAGTGATGATTTATTTATGTGATGTAAATTTTTCGATACACTTTTCGTTCTATTAATTTTAATATTATACTTTAATAGTATAAATACATATTAATATTTTCTTAAGGACAGAATGCAGATATAATAAATCAACATTAAAATTTTGATACTAATTTATTTATTAAATAAAATTAAAATATCAATTAATTAGTTAAATTTAAAATATATATAATTTTTTAAATAACTACCTACAGACAAAAATAAGTAAAACAAATTCTGTCCGAGCGAATCGAAAAGGAAAACAGTGAAAGTTATAAATAGTTTCTTTAACATTATTTATACACATGTTAAATTAGTCATTTTATAGGACTTAATCCTATTCATGTGAGATGGAGTTAAAAAAGTTTATAAGATTAAAAAAATTCTTTATTAAAAAATAGTTGATAAAATCAAATATTTCTAAAGTCTTATAAATCAATCTATAAACCTTCTATTTTAGCATGAGAAAAATAAAATAAAAAATTAGATAATTAAAATCAAATAAACAATCTATTCCTAATACTTTTTTTATCTAATCCAACCCAATTATATACTCGATTTTACTTTGATTTAGTTTGAATTTTTAAATTCAATCAGATATATTTCTTTTCTCAACCCTATAACTATATTAGCGTATGAATCACTTTTAAACTCGAAGAAGCTACCCACTACAAAATTTTAAGGTGCATTATGACATAAATTAACAAAGTTGTAAACCTATAATATAAACTATAACATTGTTGATCATATTCATATTCCTAAACAACAAAAAAACAAAAAAACTGTATACTTCAATAGGAAATATAACATTTCTCACAGTTGTCATATTCCTAAACAAACAAAATAATTATATTATATATTTTGATCTCACCTTAACAATTATCTCATAGAGAATCAAATTCATAACATTGGCATTGAATCAATCGTTTATTAATAGATCAAAAGTACTATATTTGATCATAAGAGTACAATTCTTTCTATTAAAGAATGTAAGTGTCATAATTTCAGTGTGTGTGACTTAATATATCTAACCATCTAGTATCTTGTAATAATTTAATTATTATCGAATTAAGTTATGTTATGATAATACGAGATATTTAAAGTTAGCTTACCCACAATTTAAATATGTGGTCTAAATTATTCACACTTTTAAATATATGGTCTAAATTACCTATAATTTTAAAAAGATAATATAACGTTTACGTATAATTATTTACATTTTTTTAACTCTGTGCTTAAAAACCTCAATCTCCAGATCCTATTATGGTTAGGCAATATGTACAACCATGAAGAATACAATGGAGTTAGTATACACATAAAAGTATCAATCATTCTCAAAGTTCATAATAATATATTTCACAATATTATTTTTTTCACAATATTTTAACATTATCTACATGTCATGATGTAATTGATCTAAAATTATTCTACAATCAATAATAATAATCATAAACACAACCAAATACATAATGTCACGTAAATAATGTTAAACTATTGAAGAAAAAAAATGTTATCAAAGGAAACTTGCACCTGACTCACGAAAAACCTTAAATATTCTGCAAGTCCAATAATGAAACTGCGAGTTCTGAAATGACGACGTAGGTGATTAAGGTTGCGGTTGGTAATGATCCAGGATCTGTCTTAGGAGAACGACTCCAAGTCCTATCTCACTGCTGGGTATGAAGCCGTTGACGTTATCCAACAATATATCCTCTTCCGGGGACCTCTCCTTTGGCTGCTTTTCACTTCTATACAAACTCAAAAGCTGCTTCCGAAACTCCTCCAATGGTGTCATCTCCCTGTAAACCACCCTTGACCGTTTCCTTGTAGGGATGTTGTTCCCAAAATCTGAATTTCTCACACCCAACGAATTACTTAATATAGTTGTACCTTACTAATATGCATATATATATAATAGAAATGAGGTGAAAAGAGATAGATATACCTTGTTCTGATATAAAATGGAAATCTGGGTTTGACTCATTGCTGTTTCCGTGCTCTGAAAGTTGGTCTGAAACCTCAACACTGAGATGATTTTCACCATAGTTCTTGTAGTGTTTGGGGAGATAATTATCAAGGTGCCCTTTCAACTTGTATCGTGATCCACAAGCGTTACACAGCACAGGTTTTTCAGCTGGTCCGTTACGCCAAAGTGGTGTAGCTTTTCAAATTATATGTAAGCAATATATTCATAAGTTAAATAAATGGACATTTCTTGATTTAAGTAAATACAATACATACCACTATAAATTTATTTTAAAGAAATTTTAAAATATATATTTTAAGAGAATAAATGAATGAAAGTTCAGAGAAAAAGACAGAATATATATATATATATATCTATATATATATATATATATATATATATATATATAAAACATGGCAAGTAAAAATTAATAGTAGGTGATTATGAACTGAGAGTGTTAATAAAATATCATTAACAAGTTTAGGTGATAAGTTTGAGGTGTGATTATATAGTAAATCATTGGACGTTAATTGTAAGTTACAACTTGTGTTTAATTTAGTCAAGTCAAAGTGATGGACATAATTTATATTTTAAAAAAACATATTTAATTTATTTACAAAAAAGAAGAAGAAGAAAACCAGATGCAGTTAATATTTTCTTTTAAGTTATAATAATAACTTATAATGAACAATTAATTATGTTATTTATGAATGGAAGAGTATCATTAATAATTTTTATCAAACTTTTACATTAAAATACTAATATTTCTGAAATTGATGCTCTTGTTTCTAAGTTTTTTCTTATATATAT